ATTGTGTAGTTTTTTTTTCCACGTAGGAAGAACTAATGTGATTGACTATGACTTTTCTAGTTGCTGAAAATGAATAGGTAGTTTTTAGAGAATGTTGAATTATTATGTAGTTTTTTTAGAGATATCCTTGTCTTTGATGATTTTAGAAAGAGTGAATTCATGAGAAGTGATAGAATTACCAACATATTCAAAAAGCATTTATTACTAATGTTATTGGCCAGGAAACTTTAGGTAATGTTATAATTATCACATCTTTAGAAGGATTTTCCAAGAGGTAACATTTTCCTTCCGGCTTCTAAAATGTTACAGTGAAAGTCAGCTATCATGAGTACCCTAAATTCAGCCTCTGTTTTAAATGTATCCTAGCCCTTTGGAAAAGCTGTGCAAAGTACCACCTCAGATGGGGGCTGATTCTTCCCCTTGCCATTCTCCTGGCATACTAGTGGACCGTTGAAAGATAAAAGACTTAAAACAGATTGAAATCAAGTTTGGAGATGATCATGTTGTACACGATTCCTCTCTTCTCTACCTAGCCCTTTTCAGCATTTTCATCAGTGACTTGGATTAATGACATGCCTGTCAAATTTGCTGGTGGTTATGTGGTTTTGACATTGTATTATACATTTGGAATCCAGAAGTATCTGTACAGCCTGTAATGATGGGTTGAAATTAGCCAGATACATTTTCAAAGGAACACCATACATGATTCCCTATCTGAACTTCATTACACAACTCTATAAGAGTACATACAAAAGTGAAGAGCGTGACTTGTTGCCGGTTATATATAAAGAAGACTTAGGGATTTTACAAGATTGTAACTCAGTACCAATCAGTAGTAAAATGTGGTTGACAAAAGAGCTCCTGTTATTCTTGGTTTTGTTAATGGAAATATAATCAGCCAGAATAAGAGAGAGATGTTGCTCTTTCATTTAGCAACAGATAAATTTATTGAGTGAGGCCAGGTACATTCTGGGCAGGTATCACCGGGATATTTGTGTTTGGTTCTCTATTCAGTGAGACTTTGAACTGTGGGACCATATTGAGAGAAAGCTGAAGAGGGAATTCAATATCTTGGTTGGAGGGACAGGGCATGTAGGGTAGTAATTGGCTTTGAGCAAAAAATAGACATTGGTGTGAAAGTTGGCAGTGATGGCTGTCTTCACATAACTTAGAGATTTGTCACTTCTGTAGAAGAAGGATTTGACTTTGATGTGATTTTAGGAATATTTATTGGACTAGAGGGAAGATGATACAGAGAAAAATTTGGAGTAGAAGGAAAGTCAGAACTCCATTTAATAATGAAATGGAACTGTGTCTTCAGTTGCTCAAGTGTCGTAACCTAAAGGGCATGTCAAATAAGAGATTTAAACTTTAGGTATGTGGTTAGATTAAATGGCTTGAACTGTCCTTCCATCCAGCATCCAGGAGAGTATGATCGGTGGAGAGGAAAAGAGATTCAGAAGCATTGCAAGCAGTTTGGGAAGGCCCATTCACATTCACAGGTTCTTTTTAGTAACCTGTGGTTTGCTTCCATGCCCACCCACAGATTTTTAATTTCCTGCACCACTATTAAATCTAATTCTAAATTTACAATTGAATGGTTAGGAGAGTACAAAAAAGAGAATCCATCTCTTTTTATTTCTTTGCCTTTCCAGCCATTACATCTTTTCTAGTTCTATAGATAGTAGAATCTTGTGTGGGGGGAGGAGGGAGGGAGAATGAGGGAGGAAAGGAACTTCTTAAGGGTGAAAAATAAGCTCCAGATAGCCTGTCCTTGTAAAAATCTTGTGCAGTGAGTTTGAGTAAAAGGTCTGTTAAGTGTTGAACCAAGAATGTAAAAGCATATGAACAGTTGTCATTTACTTTAAGGGAGATACAGAATTAGAGTCTTGTAGATAGAAGAAATTTATTTTCCTGAATAATAAGCATGAATTTTGTGAAGTAATTGACGGAACGTTTTTCTTACCAGGAATGTTATGATTGAGGGATATGCCACCCGTTAATGTAGTTGGATAAAGGTCTCACCACATTCCTTCAGCCTTAAAAAAAATTTCTTTTGACTGTCAACAATTGTTTGAAAATACGAAGTAGAGTGTGTAACAGTTAAAAGTTATACACCTAAACCTGACTGTGTTTAAATTACAGGTGGGAGACCTTTAGGAAGTTACTTAATTTCCCTGTCCCTCAATTTCCCAGTATATCTAATGGGGGTGTTAATAATCCTACCTGTCTTAGAGCTTTGTTGTAAGAATAATTTAATATATATGTAAAATAATTACATACAGCTAGTAAGTACTATATAAATCTTCAGTGTTATTTAATGTGCACATATGAATACACTTTTCTACATTGCTTCAATGCTGAAGTCTTCATTTATAAAAAATATTGCATGTCCACATAATCATAAATGTTGTGTTTTCCTGGGTTCAGCTTATGTTAATATTAGCAGTATCATCAGAAACACTTGTTTGTTTCTCTTTTAAAACCACTGAAGAAAACAGGCTTCTGAATCCTCCTTGAATAAGCTGTATTCTCAGCTATTGTAAACAGGGGTTAAAAACCCCCGCAGAGGAGTTGGAAACTAGTGACTGGAGAAGGACAGTAAACTGTTAGGATTGTGGGGAAACTTTGCCCATATCTGCTTTTCTTGCTCTGCACAAGTTAGTAACACCGTGTCTCTTCAGGCAGTAAATGCTCTTAAAAAATTTGATGGTAATATAACCACAGTGGATCATCACCTGTTGTGTGTGATACTCTCCTTGTCTTGGCTGCCCTCTAGAGTTGTGGAAAAAGTTATCTTACAGGAATAAGATTTCTGTCCACTGCATCTAACATGGACTAATGCTCAGGAAGTTGAGCAGATGAATGACTATCCTCTCTTTGAGGCCTGTGACACTTTTGTGGCTACTGACATAATAACCAAGTTAGAAAAATGCTTCAGTTCATTCATGTAGTGTTTTTACAGCTCACATACATTGATGAATAGTAGATTTATCTGCTGTGTAATTCAGAGAAATGAAGCGTAGGATGGCAAGTTTACTAGTTCAGTGTTCTTGGTTGCAGCCAACAGAATTCTTCTGTCTGTCAACAAGACTGTCAGTGGAGATAAACGTGAGACTGTTGTTGTCGGTGTGGCCCAACCCAGGTTCCTGTTAGCAACTTTGCTTCTTGTACTTTCTTTTCATCTCCATCAACCTACTCTCTGTGGCCTTCTGCATCTGGTTCCCCCATCCACTCCATTCTCCTGCTGTACTATCTATTGCTTTTCTGTGACTTAATCTTTTTAGGGCTTTCTTTGTCCTGGGTTATGAAGGCCGAATGGGGATGAGCCTTGAACATTGGATCCTAATTCTTCCAGTTCAGCACAAGATAAAAAGTTATTTCTTCTACTATCTGTGGGTAACTTGATGCTTAAGGATAAGACCTGAGTGGGCCCAAAGGTCAAAGCTCATCCTTACTTTATTTGGACCAATCGCAATCAATATTCATGTCTGGAATTGTGAGACAACTCAAGAGATTTTGGAGCTAGACCACATTTTAAGACTAGTTTTATGTTCCCCCATTTTAAAGCTTTAAGTGGCCTCTTACATGACGTGTTAGTTGAGAAGAGCAGGTTTCTGTCCTGAAGGGTCTAATATATTTTGAAAAGTTTAGTTATTTCTTAGGATGCTTGCAAACTTTAAAATAATGAATGGCACTTTTATTATTAACTCTTTTCTCCATTAAAGATGGAGAGTGGATCATAGAGAAGCTAAATAATGCCAGGTCACATAATGGGTGTCTGTAGAGCCAAGAACAGGAATCAGGAATCAGTCCCATCTGTACTTGAAAGCAGACATATCCTTTCAAGCTGTTAGAACTTGTGGCTACGATTAGAATATTTTTGCCACTGGATTTATTTATATTCAATTAAGTGTGATTCAGTTCTTCAATTCCGTGTGTCCTTGAATTCTCAAGTGGAGAATTGTCATTCTGATTTTCTAATCTTCTTTCTTCTCCTATTATTACTGAATAGAAAGATATTTTTGTTGAGCTGCATGCTATGTCCTACCCCTTCCTACTGATCTATAAGCTTTTCCATTGGCTTTCTTTCTGTTTCCTGCTGCTTTCTTGCTTCATAATTGAAGGGAGGATTCAGACCCATCCAGGTAACAACTACTGGTTCTGCATGGCCTCTTTATTACTCTGTTCCCTTATTATTATTACAATGAGATTGATTGTTTGCTGATGAATATACATGAATTCACAGTGGGAATTTATTATTGCTATATTGTTTCAAGGCTTTTAAGCCTGCAGTGAGAGCCATAAATAACCACAGGTACTGGCTGCCATTTGATAAATTTTGAGTTCTGCTCCTTCCAGACCATTCTTAGGTCTGTCTAGATTTTCCACTTTTACGGCAAACTATTCAAGATAGCAAAATTGGGTTCATTTTAATATGGGGTTGCCACTTTTTGGAAAAGGAAGGCCATTCCCATCGTGACAATCAGCATGTGACAACTCTACTGATAGTTTTAATTTAACTTGACTCTGATAGACTGAGATAAAAATCTTTATGTCTAGAAATGTTTTATAAATTACTTGAATGGTAGTTTTGTAAGGGACTGCTTTTTTAATTTTTAATATAAGTACTTTTATACAGTAAAACAACTTTTAGAGAGACAGAAGCTACCCTTTTTGTTATATTTTATCACACATTTTAAAATTAATTATGGTATATAATTTTTCATTTAAAATAGCTGAGGCTTCATTTTAAAAGTGAGACTGCCCAACTGTTTTCATATGTGTGACAGCACTGATCAAAACTTGACTTAGTGTGCCTAGTGTAGAATATTTTTAGTGGTCCCAGCCACATGCAGTTTGGCCTCTTTTCATGTATATTGTATTTCCAATTCAGTTGGTAACATTTTTATTAGTGGAAAAAAGGAGAAAGCTCAAGATAGTAAAATTTACATATTCCCCTTTGTAAAAAAATAAATATTTTTTTCTCCCCTCCTCAGTTTTTTCAGAGGCCTCAGATACAGCCTCCTAGAGCTACCATCCCGAACAGCAGTCCTTCCATTCGTCCTGGTGCACAGACACCCACTGCAGTGTATCAGGCCAATCAGCACATCATGATGGTTAACCATCTGCCCATGCCGTACCCAGTGCCCCAGGGTCCTCAGTACTGTATCCCACAGGTAAAGTATCTTTCAGGTCTCTCTTGTCCAGCAATAGAGTGGGAATTAACCCAAATTCTCATCAAAGGAAGCAGGGAGGGTGGGTGATGGCATTGGTTTTTAGTGATATGTGAACTTTTCTGTTGGTTATAAGTCTACCATTTTGTCATTTTCCATAATACTGTAAGGAGCTCTTTCTACATCTCTTTTTAAGTTTTTCTAAGATGTTAGAGAAATTATTTTTATCTTCTAACTTTTACCCCATCCCTTCCCCATATCCATCTGCTCTAAAACAGACTCAGTAATTATGCTGTTCCTGTGATAACATTCAATTTCATTAAAAGCTACCAGCCTGAAATAATTTTATAGTGAACTGATGTCTGTCTGTGCACTGATTTGCTGTACGGTTTTTACCTAATGCACATCTTTCTCTTCATCCTCATTGCATCTTGATGGCAAGCAAGCATTTTGAAAGTATTTAACCAAGAGTTTTTTCACCTTATTTCAGTAATTCTCTCTCTCTCTCTCACACACAACTTTATGTTTTTTAATAGTAAGCTATCTTCATATTATTTATAAATATCTTTAATTTCTCTTTTCTAGTACCGTCATAGTGGCCCTCCTTATGTTGGGCCCCCACAGCAGTATCCAGTTCAACCACCAGGGCCAGGGCCTTTTTATCCTGGACCAGGACCTGGGGATTTCCCCAATGCTTATGGTAAGTATGAAATATTGAGCAATTTCTGCTAAAACGGATTGCTAATCAGTTTAGGCAGTGAGGTTTAGGGGTGTAAAGAATTTTTAAATAAAATGTTGCTAACAGTTCTGAATGGAAATCTTTTTAGAGAGTGGTTTACAAGGAAAAAGTATTACAAAAGTATTTAGTTAATGACACCATCTGAAAGAGCTGGTAATTCTGTTGCAAAGAACCCATGTCTCGAGGTTCTGAATTTGCAACCAACTCATCATTACCTAGATTTTTATTGGATTTTTGCTGATGGAATAAATATACAGTTGACTGTTGAATATCACAGGTTTGAACTGCATGGGTCTACTTATACATAGATTTTTTTTTTTTTTTATAAATACAGTATGGTACTGTAAGTGTATTTTCTCTTATGATTTCCTTAACATTTTCGTTTCTCTAGCTTACTCTTTTGTAAGAATGCATGTAATACATGTAACATAGGAAATATCTGTTAATCAGCTGTTTACTTTATTGGTAAGGCTTCCAGTCAGCAGGAGGCTATTAGATAAGATTTTGGGGCTTCAAAACTTATACAGGGATTTTGAACTGCGTGCAGGTTAGCAGAGGGTGCCCCTGATCCGTGTGTTGTTTAAGGGTCAGTTATAACTTATCTCCCTTCCATGATTTTTTTTCTCCAAGCGTTTATCACCATTTACCAAAATTAATTTTGTTAATGTTTTCCTACTAGAATGTACTACCACAAAGGCAAAGAATTTGATTCTTTTGTTCACTGCTGTATCCCTAGCACCTAAAACAGTGACTAGGTATTGGTGTGGGATGACTGAGTATAACTGAGTACCTCTGTGATTCATTTTCTGCAAAATTGTGGTAAGATCTGTGTCCATAGGAAGGTTATGAGGATTAGTGGAATGAAAATGCCTCGAAAAATCACAAATATTTTTAATGTAGAGAAATAAGTGCCATGTTTGTACTTTGTGAACCAGTACTAAGCTAGAGAGTAATGAAAACGACTTATTCAATAAATTTCTACCACATACTTGCTTTATTACATAGAAAGTGAATTCTAAGGGATAAAATCAGCAAATACTAGAAAAATTAAGCTTTAGGATTCAGTAAGCATTGATCTTTTTTGCTACCAGTAAGGACATATTAAAATTTTAACTTGTTGTTTTAAGATACAGTAATCTAGTATAGATAAACGGTATCTACTAACCAAGTTCCTAACATTGGAATTTAGTGTCTCAATTAAAAACCTTTACATCAGAATTAATTGGCATTAGAATATCCAAGAACATTTCCCTTAGGATTTGAGGTGAAATAGGCCAAGGAACCAAGTGTTACCTGGTTTTACTACTTCTAGAAAAGCGAAAACCTTTCTCTTACCTTGGTTACTATTGCTTGTGAAACTGCCAGTTACAAAATGATACACTTCATAATGTCATTAAATGTCACAAGTGTGTATATATGAAACATGGCTTTACTGAAGTTGTATTTTACTAGGAAATATTTGATATTTTCAAAACAACACATGTTATATATATGTGTTTTAAAGTAAAGTAATACATGTGCATCACCCAGCTTTGACATAGAATATTGCCAGTACTGTTGAAGTGTCCCTTGTGTGCCCCTTGAACTTAATTTTCATACCACCTTAGTGCCTTTGTATTTGTACTTATTCTATAAATTTAAATCCAGTTAAAGTTATTTTTCCACTTTAAAAAAGATTTTATTTACTTATTTACTCATTTTATTTATTTGAGAGAGAGAGCATGCAGTGGGAGGAGCCGAGGGAGAGGGACAAGCAGATTCTCCTCTGAGGGCAGAGCCCGACACAGGGCTCGATCCCAGGACACTGAGATCATGACCTGAGCCAAAATCAAGAGTCAGATGCTTAACTGACTGAGCCATCCAGGTGCCCCCAATTAAAATTATTTTTAAGTGTAAAATTGGCAGTTGATATTATCAAGAATTTATTGAATAGAAAAACTATAAGGTGAGACTGGCTGTCAGAGTAAACATGCTAAAATCTCCAGACTTTTCTCTTTGAATCCCATGTTGTAATGGGAATGCAGTTGTATCTTCTAATTTGCAAAATCATTTTGAAAGGTGTCTCACTGAATTCTAGCCTGTTTATTTACACATCATATAAATGACTTTTTGATGCAAAATGTTGTCATTAAAATTCTATTATAAATCTGTGCCAGCCCTCTTTATTGCTCTTAATACTACTGCAGTATATATAGAAACAATATAGATGAGTTTACTGGTAGGGAAATATTTTGCTGATTTGGATATACAATATTATAACATATTTGGCTTTATTTCTGTTACATATAGACTGTATTTGTTTATTTTCACAAAAAGCAGGATATTGAGGGGCAGTTGTATCTCAAATATTGTTGATATCTGTTCCCTTTGTTAGATATTCTTTCTTCCCTGGGAAATTCTTACGCAGATCCAAAATCTATCAAGTAAGCAGTTTGTCTTATAGATTAAAACAGTTCACCTAGTTAACTTAAGATGAGAAAAACAGTCTTAAAATAATTTTTCATTATGAAAGTAACCAAGTTAGTGAGAAAAATACAAATAATATAGACTATATAAAGTTGAAGTAGCCAGTTTTTTTCCCTTTCTCCACTCCCTAAAGAAACAATGATTTAACAGATTAGTACATACTTTTTCATTTATATTTAAACAATTTTTAATATGTATGGCCACATACTATTTATAATGTTCTAAAACTTTCTGGTATTTTCCCCCCCATCTCACAATATATTCATGGACATCTTCCCATTTCATTACCTATAGAATTTCAAGCTATATAGTATTCCATTTTAGGGATGAATCATAATGTATAATCCAGGCTTAGATTATTTTCATTATTTGGGCAGACATTTTAGTTTTAAGGCTTATCACTAGTTAATATGCTTTTATCAGACTTAAAAGTTCTGATCCAGTAGTTCCCATCAATTATAGGTCCTTCTGCTGTACCTCCTTGGGACAGCTATTCTGGCCTTATGGTCTAGAAGACATAAACATCCCCCTTCCTATTTTCTTGTTTTGGAATCCCTTCTTCTCTTACCCTTCCACTCCCAGTTTTTCATTTCCCTCTGATCCTGGTCCCCCCTTTTTCTCCTTCCTCTTCTTCCTAATCTGGGGTTCAGGTTAAAAGCAGGTATAAGGAATGGAATCCTAGTTCTCTGTTCTGAAGCACAGCAGTCCTGTCTTCTAGGGCAGAGGGCCTTCCTCTGGCTGAACTGGTAAGGGACGAATCCTAGTCTTGTTCCTTCCTGCCCTACTGGTGGAGTTGGTGAGTTGGACAGTCTCTTTTGCAGAAGTCTTGGTTCTTTTTCCTTAGCTTACATTTCACTCTAGGGTAATAATATTTTACTCCTCTGTTCAGTTTAAATCTTGAACAGTGATTCTCAAAGAATATTTTTGCCCTTACTGAATGAAGTTCAGTAACCAAGATCATAAAATTCTGTTTATACATTATAATTCTTGGAGTGTTTCTATAGTGTTGAGGAAAAATAACTAATGAGTAGTATTTGATCAATGTCACTTTTCAGTTTTTCTCTCATCAGTGTTTCTTAAATATTTTGATGCCTGTTATATCAGAAAAATACGTCATGAAGGTGATAACCCAAGGTGTAAAAATTTGGGTTTGGGAGCAAAGAGATGTGGTTAGCAGTGATACTGGGATCAAGTCCCCCATTGGGTTCCTTGCTCAGTGGGGAGCCTGCTCCTCCCTCTGCCTGCCACTCCCCCTGCTTGTGCCCTCTCTTTCTTTCTCTCTCTCTGACAAATAAATAAAATCTTAAGGAAAAAAATGTCCCGTTCTCCTTTGCTTCAAACCAGTATACTTTCCCCTTTTCTCACCGTACCATTTTCTTCCTCCCTCTTTCATTTTCTTTTCCACTCTTTTCCTGAGCTCTGTGGGGGTTTGGACCTTTTTTAGGTCCTAAGAGTTGAGGGATTCATTCATTGTTCCCCATGGTGTTTGGAAGTGGGAAACTCTGGCATCCGAAATTGAATTTGATTGTGTGTTCATGGAGTGTTAATACTGTGATTGTTGGGGTGCAGTTAGTTAAGCAAGCAACTCTTTGTTTTGGCTCAGATCATGATTTTGGGGTCCTGGAATTGAGCCTTGTGTTGGGCTCTGTGCTCAACTTGGAGTCTGCTTGAGGTTCTCTCTACCAGTGTCCCTCTGTCCCTCCTGCTCATGCTCTCTTTCTCTAAAATAAATAAATCTTAAAAAAAAGTACTGTGATTGTGGATGTGGTTATATACTGACGTTATTATTCTGGGATATTATGGCATAAACTGATTTTTATGTGCGACTTGCATACTCAACCACTATCTTTTTATTTGTTTCTATGGGAAAATTCAGTTTTGATAGGTTTTTGGAAGACCTGCAATGTATAAGACAGTGTACTAGGTATTTTGTAGGATGTAGATGTTGAGATATTCTCCTTGCCTTTCAGGATCTTACGGTGCATTTGTTTGATATTTGTGTTTGGGGTTTTACCATTGAGAACAAATCTAAATGTTGACTAGACCACTGGTTCCCAGATTTTTCAATATCCTAGTCAAATAAAATTTTTAAAAAGTAAAGTAAAATGAAGAAACATATAGAACTGTTACCTTTTTAATTTTGCCACAAAGGCTTTCAAAGAAAACTGTTATTTAATGTCAGTAGCATTTCATATAGGAAGGCTGTTTGAACAACAAAGGAACAAGACAGAAATAATTTCAAAATAGTAACAGACCTTTCCAGAATGTCAAATTAGCAAGCCTATAGTTGTGGCCCTGTGTGTGGTTAGTATAGTAATGTGGTTATTATTGTGTAAATTTTGCCATATATCATTGACACATTTTGTATTGACTGGAGTTTGGAGAACCACTGATCGAGAACAAGGATCAGGGGAAGAAAAGGGTCAGCCCTTTTTCTATAAAGGGCAATATTGTAGGTTTTGCAGGCCATATGGTCTCTGTTGCAACTATTCAGCTCTCCCATTTTAGTGAAAAGGCAGCAGTAGGTAACAGATAAAATACTGTATGTAGGTGTATTCCAATAAAACTTTATTTATAAAATTGCACTGGATTTAGCCTATTGGCTTTAGTTGACATACTTCTAATCTAGATAAACCTGTTACATTCCATGCATAAGAGGTTGGGGACATTAAGTAACATACCTAATTAGTAAATGGTATGTAAAAGATATTCACATTTTTAATAGAATAAAATAAATCTTTTTAAATGTCTCTGACTATATAAGAAGTTGAATTAGTATTCTATAAAAGATAATCGTTATTTGGTAAGTTAGAGGGCCCACTCCACTGGGGTCCACAGTTGACTTGATATTTTACTAATTGTGTTTAACCCCATTATTGAGATATCCTATGCTTCCAGGTTTATTCAGCTGGTATTTATTGCATGTGTACTATCTGCAGTCTCTACCCCAGTTGTGTTGACTCAAAAACGTTTCTTTAGAACAGTCTAATTTTTTTCACCTTTTGGATCTTTGTCACTTAGTTTAAAAAATATGGCAAGGTGAGCAGACTGTATTGCCTGTCTAGCAGCATTTGAAACCAATTTTAGGGGATTGTTTTCTGAGTTTTGGAACTAGTGACATTATAGGGTAGTGTAGAATCGCTTATTTAAGCTTGACTTTGAGAATACTGTATATACTACCAGAAGCATGGCTAATAAGGTGTTTTTCTCTTTTTACATTGAATTAATTGAAATCCTAGCCATGCCCCCTGTTTAGATCTTCTCCGAATTTGATTGATACCTGTAGAATTCTGGTACCTTGAAATGTGGTACTGCTTCCAAGAAATTACCACTTAAAGACTATTATGATGGTGGGGATGGTTTGATGTTGATGATGACAGTGATAATAGAGCCAACATTATTTGTTTACTAATGTACCAAGGATTTTACGTGTATTAACTACCTATCCCTTCATGTTTTTCCTTCTTGTTATCATGACTCAACCATCACTGTTGCTACCAAAGGCCAGTCTTCTTGTGCACTGGATCCCATCATGTACACATTTAAGGCTATTACTCTAGCTGTTCTCTTTTCTCTTTCTGGCATTATCATTTTCTTTCTCTCTGCTGGATTAGTCCCTTCAGCATACAGGTATATACTGTTTTATTCCCATCTTAAGACAAACAAACAAAAAACCCAACCACTTTTCTTCATTTCCATCTCATTCATTGTTGAGCCCACCCTAATCAGGATGCACTTTCCCGCCCCTCCACCCATATAACTTTTGTCAGGGTCACCTGTGCATTCTACTTTGCTGAATCTTGGTTGACTCTCAGCGCCATTTCACGTAGTTATGCATGCTCCCTATTCCTGAACCATTCTCTTTACTTCAACCACTGCCTTGATTTTCTTTTTCATCTCCTTTGCTAGGTTTTCCTCATACCTGTAATGTCTGAACAACATAGACTGCCCCAAAATTTCGTCCTCGGGTTCATTCTCTATTTGTACTAATTTCCTCAGTCACCCAGTCTCATGGTTTAAATGTTGTCCATACTGTACTAATTCCAAAATGGATACCTGTTCTCTGACTCTGGGACTTGTGTCTCTTCCTGCCTACTTGCTGCCATCTGCTTTTGAAGGTCTAGTAAGAATCTCAAACTTTACATGTCCAAAATTGAACTCCTGATTTTTATGCTCTAAACTCTACTCTTCCTCTAGTTTTCCTCATCTCAGTAAGTAAATAAATAGCGCAGTAAATAGCATTTTCATTCTTCCACTTACTGCAACAAAAAACCTTAAAGAGTTTTCCTTGACACTTCTTTCTCTCATAGTCACATCTACTCTATCAGCAAATCCGTAGGTTCTACTTAACGTATCCAGTATCTGACCCTTCCTCATCACCTCTTCTCTTAGTACTTTGGCTTAATAGTAATTATATTAATAGTCAAAGTTTTAAAGTTAAGAAAGTATTCATTGAGAGTACAAGGGGTGAGTGGAAGAAGGTAATTTTAGCATACCTTTAGCATAGTCAAAGGTATGAACAATGTTGGAGAGATTGATGTACTCAAGAGATAGTAGTAGGTATAGGTTGTTGCTAGAGCAAAAGTATGGAGCTAGAGAATGGTACGTAAGGTAGTTAAAACCCTGGAACCTGGACTCTTAGTATCAGACTTCATTTTTCAGCTGCTTGTTCTCAGCATTTTTTCTGCTCCAATAGTATGATATTGGCTAAGCCTTAAGGGTGGTTCCCTATGACAGTGGTTCTCTGAAAGTAGGGAGAAAAATCAGACCACTCCCACTCCACAAGATGATCATATATATTCTCCTTCCTCTGACCAAACCCCCACACAAAACATATTCACACAAACCCTTGCTTGAGAATCACATTGCAGGGAATGGGCAGGCCCCTGGAATCGATTTTTTTAAAGGCAGTGCTATAGTATGATTAATTTTTTTGAAAGGTGCCTCGAGTGGCAATCTGCAGGAGTTGGTTATTTAGTTGTTTTCATATTGGATGCTGACAAAAAGGTGTTTTGAGTTTTGGGGAATCATTCCTTGAGCACTTCAGTAAATAGAGGGAAGCTATTGGATAGAGATGATTAAGTGGGATGTTTTTGTTATTTATTTTTTTAACTGATTGTCCGGAGACACAGTGCCATTTGTAGTCTTACAGTGGTTGACAAAATAACTGAATGCTTCTTTTCATTGTTTTTTTCTAATTCTTTAGGAACGCCTTTTTACCCAAGTCAGCCAGTGTATCAGTCAGCACCAATCATAGTGCCTACGCAGCAGCAGCCCCCTCCAGCCAAGAGAGAGAAAAAAACAGTAAGAGATATTTATTAATTTTTCTTATTTTAAAATCGAATATCCAGTCCCTTGTCAAATATGTTTACCCACAGCTGTAATCATTATTCTTCTGAGTTCACAAATGATGGCCATTTTTTATTCTTCACTTACATCCTTACCACTAGACCTAGACAATTTGTATGGACATATAAGTAGAAGTTACAAGAACCATTTGCTTAATATTTTTCAGCATGCACTGAGGTAGCTTTGCTAGATGACAACATGCCTTCTTTATAACTGGGAGGCTTTAGTCTGCTAAGATCTTACTAAGTGGGAGAAATTTGAGCTCTATTTTCACATACTGATTATTGTCCTTTAACTTCAGTCCTAATCAGCTCTACATTCAAATATGAACTTACAGGGGGAAAAGCAGCACAAGTGAAAATGAGCAAAATGTTAAGGACAATAAGAAAAATCCTCCCTGTGGAATAGATTTATTTTTAGAAATATCAGAATTTAGAAAATATATTCTGTTTTTAGGAAGTTACCGGGGCTTTGCCTCTGTCTAGAAAGGCAGGCCCAAGAAAATTAGAGTGCACTAATATAAAGTTCACATTGCAGGACATCCTGTGGAAGAGTGGCTTGCAATCTCTTACCCATTAGGACACACAAAATGAGATTCACAAGGGTGAGATACGTGGGAGAGATATCATAGCAATCAGTACTCTTGAAAGTACTCTCATTTAATAAAAATAATAGGATTCCAAAACTTAGGCTCTTTTATTATCAGAAACTGATTTCTTGTGCACACATCATAATAAGCAGGACATGCCCATATATCAGGACACTGAAGTTGAGAAAGTATGCTTTAGAAATGTTGAAACAGCATGGTAGATGATGGATGTGAAGAACACCCAGGATAAAGAAACATTAATAAAGAAGATGATGAAAATAGAAGACATAATAGATGTTACTGAACAAGAAAGTAGAACAAATGAAAGAGAAGCAATATTTAAAATTGTAGTAGAAACAAGTTTCTGTATCTGAAAAAATAGCTGATATTAGAAATCTTACTGAAGAATTCCCAAAACAGCTTCCAGATCCAGGTGATTTTATTAATGAATGCTTTGACATTTCCAGGAAGCCAGGGCTACCTTGGTTTCACTTTGGAGGTAGTGATAGCAGAAGGGGTCTTTAGGTCTCAGCACTGTCACAGGATGGAAGGCCTAGACCCAGGTGCTCCGTCTCCTTTGCAGCACTATTTCCACTGACATTTGTAAGCATAGGTCGCCTTTAAAAAATTGAAAGAACACCATACACATTGTTCTGCATCTTGTAGCTTTTTACCTACCAATACATTTGGATGATCATTCCATATCAGTACATGTAGATCTATTTCATTCTTTCTATTGGCTGATTGGTATTTAATTGTAAGGATGTAGCATACTTTTTTAATTACTATGTTCTTGATCAGCCTTGAGCTTGTTTCTGTGCCTTTGCTCTACAAGCCACTATTGCAGTGAACATTCTTGTATACATATGTAAGGTATCTGCAACATAAATTATTCCTAATTACTGGGATAGGTGCATTTTTCATTTTGTTGGGGAACATTTACAACTCCTAAAGCTTTATTCTACAGAGTAACATACTTTAAAACGATTTTATTTATGAATGTTACGTTAAGCATTGTAAATAAAATCAGTTAATTTGGCAGTTCTTACAAGACAAGCGTTAATTCTTTGCCATTCTGACCTAGAAATTCAGCCAACTGTGTCTCATTTTAGCTTGTTATTCTAATTAATTCAAGTCAGAACTAATGTCCTAAATTTCTCTGAATGACACCATACGGTTCAATGATTGAAATAAAGTCAAGTGTGATTATCAACTTTGATATTTGATAGATTTCCCACTTTATACCTTTAACCATATCATGGGCCTATAAATGTACTACATAGATAACCATCTCTCAATATGCCATCTTATTCTGACCTTATAGATAAGAATTCGGGATCCAAACCAGGGAGGGAAAGACATAACAGAGGAGATTATGTCTGGAGGTGGCAGCAGAAATCCTACTCCTCCCATAGGGAGACCCACTTCCACACCTACTCCTCCTCAGGTAAGACAGTGAGCTGTGAGGGATGACACTGTGTATTTGTTCACTAACCTCTGCTGGGCTCTTCTTCTTTCTGTAGCCACTCTCTGTACTTCTCATGTCCATCAGTTGTCTCATAGCCTCGAATATCTAAATGATATATAAGTAGACGTGTTCTTTCTCTTTACAAATTGTTATAACTTCCAGATTTTTATTGGTAATATTTCTATATATTGTCTCCACATTCAGAGCATAGCTGCTGCCACTCTTCCTAACGAACTATTGCATGATACCAAAAGGAGCTGCAATTCCTATGGAAACCTCATCAATAATTGAGTATTTCATGTTTCAATATGGAGCCGTAGGAATTAAATGCTGCACACTATGTTTGTGAAAACTTTAAGGTTGAAAATTTAAACATTGTTACTTAACAGTATTGTTTGGGACCAGTGCCTGTGTAATTCAGAGCACAGTTAGATGTATTTTAGGTATACCTCTTACCTTTCAGGACTACATATATGAACTTTTTGATTAGAGGGTGTCTTCTTTAATTATTTACATGGACTATTAAGAAATTCTGTCAGCTAAGCACCTTTTTGTTCCCATTGCAGAATGTGGTTATCATAGTCTTCTAAAAGTTCACTTTCTTGCTTTTAGAAATCAAGATATTTCAGGAAGAACTGGAGTTTAGTAAACTGCAGTACAGGCTGGAAGTCCCCAAATTTGCCAGGATTTATATTTCATCACTTGGTCACTTTAAATTTTGATAAGCCATTCAGAAGAGATGAGTGATTTTCAAAGCTTTGAAATACCTAAACTGAGAGCTCAGCGTATAAGACAGAGAAAACGAAAGTTACTAAGGAGTAAGGGTCTGCTTGCTTCCCCCTTTGTGGCTTGATGGTGAGGTATTCCTCAGGGCCCAGTTTATGAACAAGTGATAGGCATGATTAAATATCATTTTAGAATGGTGGACTATTGACTTGATTTTAGTAGCATGGGTCAAAAAATGTTGTTAAAAATGTTCTTAAAAATTGAGATCACAGGGGCGCCTGGGTGGCTCAGATGGTTAAGCGTCTGCCTTCGGCTCAGGTCATGATCCTAGGGTCTGGGATCAAGCCCCGCATCAGGCTCCCTGCTTGGCGAGGAGCCTGCTTCTCCCTCTCCCTCTGCTGTTACCCCTGCTTGTGCTCTCTCGCTCTCTCTATCAAATAAATAAATAAAATCTTTAAAAAAAAAAATTGAGATCACAAATACACAGAGCCCTTGAAAATGTGTGAATTTATTTAATTTCCTCCCTGTAGGGACAAGTAGTATTTACACATTGAAGCTTTCTACTTATGTGCACAGTTAGATAAGGCCATACTACAGAGAAACCTGGAATTGGTTGATTAGGGCAGTTAAATTTTGATCTCTGTTTTCCCACATTAATTCAAATATTGTTACTTTCAAGCTATATACTTGACAACCTTTTGTTAATTAGTGTTTGAATTCTCAACTCGAATATATCTTAGTATATCTTTTTGCATTTTAATTCCCTGTGGTTTGTTTTTCTTTAATTATTACCAAGCTGGATATCCTACCCTCTTTTGGTTACCCTTAGCTACAGAAATCCTTTTACTCTCTATTTTTCATTAGGGACCACAGGCCTGAATGAATACAAGTGTATTTGTTTGTATAAACATAAAGCACGTTAAGTGTATGATTTTAATTGATAAAGGCCACCAGTCAATAATTATAATGTTGACAATACTTCTTGATGTGTAATATTGTCATGAAGCCTCAGTTTATTTTATTAGTTATTTTCACTCAAAACCACATTAATGTGTAGCCTTTCCAAATACATGAAATTCATGGAATGCACACATAGCTTTTTAACAGAGACATACGTACTAGAAAGATTTCATTTTCCTCTTAAGAACAACCACATAAGCATGATGATGGCGGGGCACCTGGGTGGCTCAGTCGTTGAGCATCTGTCTTCGGCTCGGGTCATGATCCCAGGGTCCTGGGATCGAGCCCCGCATTGGGCTCCCCGCTCGGCGGGAAGCCTGCTTCTCCCTCTCCCACTCCCCCGGCTTGTGTTCCCTCTCTCAATAGCTCGCTCTCTCTGTCAAATAAATAAAACCTTAAAAACAAAGCATGATGATGGCAACTGATACTTGGCTTCAGTTTTGGAAATATATAGAGAGTTGTGCACATAGAGTGGGAGAGGACATCCCTGGTTAAACTAGGCAGTTATTACTTCCTGACTGTTGTATTATGTAAAAATGTTGACCCAGTGTTTCAAAAGAAGCTAGAAATCTTTATTTATGTAAAAAATCTGCACATTTTAAATGTTGGCGGTTAATTCTACTAAGAAATAGCATTATGCCAGCCTAAGAAAACCCATTAGGTTTATTCTAAAGATTGGTAGTTTGTAACTGTGGTCTAATTCTAGATAGATCCTGCACCACATTCTAGTTATTAAGACTACAGATGAGACAACCCTCTGCTTTAGAATTTATGACTGAATAGTAAGTACTCTATTGCTTTTGACCTTATCATATATCTGCGTTAAGCCACAATTGCAGGTGCCATGAATAGCAAAGCCTTTTCCTATCATTGAGGTCATCCCAGTCTCATTAAGTGAGACAGAGGACACATTAATATGTGACTGGACCTCCTGTGGAGTGTAAACAAAGAAATATGAATGCACAGAAGTGACCAAGTGGGACAGAATTGCAGCACAGGCTCAAATGTGTTGCATCACAGGCACCTGTTACTGGTGGTGCTGGTGTGATAGTATAGGGGAGGGATCTAAAAGCTTTGGCTCAGAACCAAACATACTTGGTTTCAAGTCCTAGATCTACCACTTAATTTTGTAAGTTTAGCCAAATTACTGAATTTTCCAGAGCTTTAATTTCCACATTTAAAAAAAAAAAAATGAGGGCGCCTGGGTGGCTCAGTTGGTTAAGCGACTGCCTTCGGCTCAGGTCATGATCCTGGAGTCCCGGGATCGAGTCCCGCATCGGGCTCCCTGCTCGGCGGGGAGTCTGCTTCTCCCTCTGACCCTCCCCCCTCTCGTGCTCTCTCTCTATCTCTCATTCTCTCTCTCAAATAAATAAATAAAATCTTTTAAAAAAAAATAAATGAGGAAAACAAAACCTATCGTATAGAGTTATTATACTATTAAATGAGAGTAAATACCTAAAATTGCTTGAGCTCAGGGCACAGTGAGCATTCAGAACACACTTCCTATTACTAATATTTGCAGTTGTTAGTGCACGAGGCCCTGAACATGACTGGAAGATTCTGGGAAGGCTTCACAGCAGAAATGACATTTGGTCTGAGTTCCCAGATTGGTATTCACACAATGAAAAGAGAGAGAAGGATATTCCAGGCAGAGGGGCAGCATGTGCAAGAAGGTGGCATGTGGAGATGGGAAATGAGATGAAGGGAGATGATTGTCATTTCATATGACAGATTAGGGAGTTGGCTGAAGGGAGAGGAAACCAGTTAGAAAAATATACAATTGGTTACTAAGTAAGGATTATAGAGTGACCTTATAATTTATTATCTGAATTGGGGCAGTTTTAAAATGCCTTCGGGATGCTGTGAATCATTTTGCTGGGACAGCAGGCATAAACCAGTACTGTCCAGGTAAACAGGATGCATGGTTCCCCTAGGTGTAAAAGAGAACAATCAGAGGTTGACTCTGCCAGCTTAGGTACCTGGACTTTTAGTAAAACATAACATGGAGTATACATGGGAATGTTTGAAGAGGGGGATAAAGAGTTTCATTTTGCCAAGCATTCAAGATAAGAAAGAGTTAATTTAGGGAAACTGTAGTAGGTGTATATGAGGAGAAGGGAGAGGAGAAGCAGGCTTTGCTGCTACTGTTTTTGCCCTAAAGAGTAGATTGAATTTGAAATTGTCCTGCTTCCTAGGTTTTAAAATGATCTATGGAATAGCACCTGAAGATTTTATATCTCAAATATATAAAAAATACATGCATGTGTATACATGTGCTCATTCCGGTGATCACAGTGCACTAAGAGGGGTGCATGTATAGACCTCGTCGAGTACTAGAACACTTTCTACAGGTCTATAGAGCTCTGTCACTTAGATTTATGACCTTAGGTCAGAACATTAAGTCCTTTCAACACCTACTTTTTCATCACTAAAATGAGGGATTGTAGTAAGCTCCAAGTTTCCTTTTAGCTTTTAAATGTTGAAGTGGGAAAGAAGGGGGATGTTTTTGTTACTTTCCCTTAGCATCACAATCTCTCAGCTGTGTCTCCGTTGATAGCAATAAGGCACAAGGAACATTTCTGTATTAAGAAATGTGCTAGATGCCTGGAAGTTTTTATGGGACCCCTTAGGATAAAAATAAATACATGATGCTGTATAGGCAAGGCTTCCAGAATTGTCTACTTCCAAAGGCTGGGGTGGTGAACCAAAAATTACTCAGTTTTTTAAATGAACTACTTTATATATCTTTCTTCCTCTCCCTATTACCTTCGGGTTTTTTTTTCTGTTTTAAAAATCACTCTTTAAAAAAAATTACTCTTGGGGCGCCTGGGTGGCTCAGTTGGTTAAGCAACTGCCTTTGGCTCAGGTCATGATCCTGGAGTCCCAGGATCGAGTCCCACATCGGGCTCCCTGCTCAGCAGGGAGTCTGCTTCTCCCTCTGACCCTCCCCCCTCTCATGTGCTCGCTCGCTCTCATTCTCGCTCTCTCAAATAAATAAATAAAATCTTAAAAAAAAAAAATTACTCTTACAGTGAAGTACTGTTACGTGTGAGAGTCCTATGCCACAGGGTATAGGAGCAGAGAAAAGGTTGGAAACTATGGATCGATGGAATATCTTAGGAAAGATATATAGCCTCCCTTGTCATTTGGGAAAATTGCCAAAGTCAGCAAGTCATTCAGTCTTTTGAAGAGCTTATTAACTTGATAACTGGAAACGTTAAATTCTGACCATTTGTTAATTAGTTTTATAGTTTTAGCAGTAATAGTTAAGTTAGGTTCTGAAGCTTAGACAA